ACCCCCCCCCCCCCCCCCCCCAAAAAAAAAACAACAACCTGGACCAAGTCCACCCTATAAACATAACCCAAAGTCACACATCTCTCTAATATCTTACAAAGTGCTCATTACTGCCTAACCAACCAAGCCATGGATACATAAGACTTGAGCTTGGCTAAAATTAGTAACACTTGTGCATGTAGCATTGACTCACCTCCTTTGTGGAGTATAACACCAAAAGCCTCTTCTAATCCCTACTAAGATATTAGGGAAGGAAGAAAACGAGATGAAAACGATTGCTTTGAAGCAAAACTAGTCTCTAAGGGCCACAAGAATATCTTTTCATGTGTCCAAAATGGAAAGAGAATAACAAGACTAGATGATGAAGAGGTACCAATGGACTTGTTATGGGAGGTTTTCAATGAGGAGTTGTCTTCAACAAAGTGTGCTACCTCTTTCTCTTCAAGAGAGATGATTGAATTCAGATGTACTATTGCCTTAACAGTTGTCAAGGTCAGAAGTGTTTTTCTTCAAATAAAGAATAGGCCTCCTATGGTGCTTATTGTTAAGGTTTTAAAGAATCTCTTTTCCACTAAAATTTTAAAAGTAAATTAAGAAAAATGATATTCTAATTCTAATTTTATTTTTGACGATCAAACTATTTTCACTAAGAATTATTATTCGTTTTTTCTATAAGAAAATTGTTTGGTTAATTATGAGTTTTTAATTACTTTTATTCCATGAGGAGTTTAGGGTCCAATGCTTCTAATGTAATGTGTATAAAAGTAGATATGAATCACACATAATCTCTCTTTATTTATGATTATGAGTTTCATAATTTCATTCGAATCTTTTGATTAATTAATTTTATGTTTTATATTCTATTTTGAAATCTTTTGGCCTTCGGATATATTTATGTACTAGCTGTTTGTATGTGAAAATACGATTCCTAAGAAAGAGGCTTGCTATAAGATGAAGTAATTCACCAAAAAAGAAAAAGAAAATATGAAGCAATTACTTATTTATATGTGTAGAATATAAAACTTATCTATTCTTGGTTGGAATAGGCTATCTCCAAAAACTTAAACCACCAAAATTAAATTTTTTTTATAGAAGAGAAGTGATAGCAATCTCCCATTTAACTCACCCCCTTCTTTTAATTAAAATTTATTAGAAAATCCAAAATCATGAATAAAACATATAAAATAAAAAGTGAGACCTATCATGATTTTTAATAAATAATAAAGGTGTGTTCAAATCTTAAAAGAATATATTAAAATATGTCACCAGCATTTCTCTATTCACAATCACATCATAGAGTTGGGCAACTTTTTTTTTTATTGAAATATTACAACAAAAATTCCCCAAATAACACCCTTTCCCAATTATTTCCCCTAACACTGCACCTTTTATTCATCTGTAAATACCCTCCTCCCAAACCTGACTTCTCATCCGTTGTTGTTGTTGTTGTGTTTTTTTCTTCTTTTTTTTTCCTTTTCGACCGAACTGAGAAGTCAGTCGGATCGACTTTCCCAAAAAATAGAATGGCGTGTAATAAAAAAATAAGAATTAAAAAAGTCAAACACTATTTTCTATTAAGAATTGGACAGGTGCAAACTACTGTATGGGCAGCAAGTAAATCATATAGTAACCCAAAAGTAAAGAGATTAGCAGAAGGGTACAAATTTAATTTAACAACTTATCCATGCTAATATAGTAAAATATTTAAGTAATAAAATCAATAAGAATCATTTCTAACGTGAATATGAATGGCCTATCAAAAATTTCTACATACAAACAATCCCAATTAAGAAAAGAAATATGAGCAGTGGTAGTGATGGTGAGGGGAGTCATTCGATGCTTTGCTTGTCTCCCAAGGCATAAATGAATTGTGTCACAAATGGAAGGATACAAGAGGAAGAGATATATGATAAAACATAACCACAAAATTATGTTTCCATGGATGACACAGCAGATCATACTTTGAGTAACACTTCCATGGGAAACACCTGTGTTGAATCATCATGTGACAAACTCTGCAGCAGAGATCACAACTTCAACAGATATATGGAGGAGACTGGCATTATTCTATTGCTTTTTGACATCATATGATCAAGCTCAATAGCAATAAAAAAATGTTAATATAAAAGTGGCATTATTCTGTTGCTTTTTGATGACTAATCCTCTTCTCATCCAACCTATGACGGAACAACTTCGCTATGTGTCTCCTTTCACAGTCCTGGGCATAAAAAGACAAGAAAAAAACCATGAAATGTACATCCATACCACTAAAGCATCAATTATCATAGTGCAAAGAAAACCATCATATCACAACTACCACTATAGCTGTCTGTGCTTAAGTTTCTTTACCTTGAACATGTTCAGATGGAAAGGTTTCTCTGGATTCATCCTTCTCAGCTTCTGATAAGTATATGCGAAACTCAGCTGATCACGAGGTGTAAACCGGTCAACTTCATTGAACCAAAGACAGGAAAACAAATTTGACATCGGGGTGTGTGCTCTAATAATAAAAGAACCTTCAGGTACATCTGTCAGAAAGATATTGCAAGTCATTTCAGTACATTAAATCAGCGAGTATGGAGAATTGACAGATAATAAATCCTTGAGAGAACATACTGCTTGGAAGAAGCTTGTTTGGATCCGATGCATCAAATTTTTCCAGTCCATCAGCACGGTAAAATGCAAATTGTTGATCTATAACCGTATGATTATACTTGTTCAATCTCTTGTTTTGTGCTACTTCTTCCCACACGCAATGCCGATCATAGTGATTGGATATTGCAAATTCATAACCCTTTCGCCACAAAAAGTACTCCAAGATAAGTAAAGGATCAAGCTGCAGCCGTAATTTGCTATCCAACCAAATTGAATACCTGAAATGAAATTTGAAAGATAAACAGGCATAAAATTATTAAACATACAAGAAAAAAGAAATAAGAAAATTATACACAAAACAAATGATAAGTAATTAAATAATCAACTTATAACAAAGAAAATCAATAAGAAACCTGTCTAAAGATTTCAGATACCTATGTACAGAACACTACATAAAAATGCATTTGCAATTCTGTTAATCCCCACTGAAATAAGGACTAAACTGTCCCAAAAACCAAGATTCTATAATTAAGAAATGCACAAAGATTCATTTTCTAAGTTGGATTAGGCTAGAAAGGTCGAGGAATTTAAAGAATCTCTAAAATTTAAGGCAATTTACATACCAAGGCGTCCTGGGATTTTCATAGAAACACCTCTAACTTTTAAACCATTGGAATAGAGTTGCATCCACAAGTATAACAAAGCCTTAACCCGAAATATATTCAAACCAATAAATAATTAATAAAACTGATATAATACTCCACATAAATCTCTTTCATCAATCCACCCCATCAAGGATTCATCATGCAGTAACATTTTACCTTTATGCAAGGTTCTTTAGCATTAGTAAAAACTGACAGTGACATCTATACTACTGTCACTCCTTACTTTCAACTTTACCTTCCTCCTTCCAATACTAATAGTTTGGTCTACATACACAATAAAAGAATCAAATGTAAAAACCACCTAAATCAAAATTTCACCATTTTATCTTAAGTGATACATATCTATCAACATATTTGTCTTGGTATTTAATGCCACTTAGCAGTAACCCTGATTAAAACATCATCCAAATAAACACTGTCAAATTCAAAAGAACAACACATGTTTTATCATATCAGTCTGACCTTGCAAAAGGAAAAAGTCGATGTGGCAATAACTTCGGTATTTTGCCAACTCGCCGCATATCATCAAAGGGTAGATTCTTCACTACCACTAATTTCCAAAAGCCAATGAAACCCATTCTATCAGGCACATGACCTTCTGAAGAAAGTGTCCGTATTGTAATTTCATCAGTAAACATCACAAAGCAGACATTCTTCCTTGACAATCGAGTGACCTGAAAACATGATAACTCAGATCAATACAAATAAAACATGCTTTGTGGCACTACATCAAAAGTCAAATAGTTCACATATAAGAATCTGTGTTTAAGATTTCAATGGTTCCAACAATGCACTTTCAAAACCAAAACATTCAATGCTAATAAAAATACAATTATGAGAAAGTTAAGGAATGATTATATCAATTGGTAAAGCTTAAAATATTACCCTGGAGTGTGCATAAAATCTTTTGTCCCTTTTTCATAGGCTACTTACAAATTTGAAGCAGTATGTGATAGGCCCGTATCATCAAGGAAGGCCTTAAAACTTAAAAGTATACTCTCGTAGGCCTAAACCTAAGGCCCAATTGTAATTGGAAAAGGCGTATGTACGATGGCTGTGTGAGATGGAGGAGTTAGTTATAGAGAGAGAAATGGAAATCTAATATAGTGGGGGATACGGTATCTTTTACATTTGACAGCTGATAGCTAGGGCAGGAGGATGTACTTCCTTGGCTGGGACTGGGAGCACTTTTGCTCTTCTATCTTTTCTGCATTTCCCTTTCTATTTTCAATCAAATACCTTTATTGGATAGAAATTAGCCCTACAGTGTGAGAGTATCTTTTTTTTTTTTTTTTTTTTTTTGTCTGTGAAGCCAAACATTTAATGCCCAACTCTTGAAGGGAACCTATTTTTCTCCTAATGCATGTTAAGTGTTACAGGGGACTTATTATCTCATTGTTAAAAAATTCATGTGTCTTTGTTGGTCTGACAGGAACCTTAGGAGAACCACACCACAAAACTTAATCATTGAAGTTGGAGAGCTCAAGGCCTTACAAAGCCCACACAGATATACCCTACTTCCAATGTGAGACTCAGGTCCCATACCTTGAAATTGGATCCTAACATCCCACCATCACCATGTACTGCAACCTCAATGCCCATGCAGGTTGGCTGGGCACTAGCCTTTGACTAGTTTTGGGCAAGCATTGCAGTGTCTATGTCACCACCCACATTGCTTGTTTGAGAGATATGGTGAAAAGCTCTGACACAAACGGATCAAAACTTTAGAAGAACCACACTTCAAAAATTAGCCATCATAGTTGGAGAGCCCAATATCTTATATAAACCATGCCAAAATCCCGTCTTTGAATGTGGGACTCAAGTCCTTTACCTTTCAACTGGGATCCTGAACAGTCTACTACTCTATTAAAGTATCACATATACATACAAACAGCACATTATCAGCATCATTACAAGTCCATCCTCAAACACAGAACCAACAAATTACAACCCATCATGTCAGATGTCAGCAGCAGAGAAATTCCTTGGGGAGGAATAGTCTAAACAACAAACATGGAAGCATTACAACCATGTCAAAACACAAACAATTGGTATCCAATTCTACAGAGACTTTTGGGCAATCTTATAATCAGAATTTATGACATGTAGATCAAAATAATTATAGATGCAGCACAGAGAATAAAGCATAACCAGTTTTACTTGAAATGATGAAATAATGTAATATTTCATTGGAAAATTCACACTGTGATTTCTAACATCCAAAATCCTCTCCAACCCCACAAAATAAAATAAAAGATAAAGTAGACCTGTTACCGTTTTGGTGGCTGGGGTCCTCAAGCGATCAGAGTTTCCAAATATGCAAGAAATAACAGCAATGTGGCACCTGCTGATGTAACTTGCATCATCTTCTGTCAAGTCAAATCCAGTACTTTGAGACCCTTCAGGACCTTTAACAAAACCACACTTTATTTTCTGATCACGTGCCAAAAATGAATTTTCTCTCTCTTCTAAGCTCTGATGGCCTGCAAATCTGGGCACCCAATGTTCTTCTCCCGGTGGCTTTTCTTCTTTATCCGTGTACTGTAAGTTAAATCTTGCAAATTTTCGACTTTCTAGAGGTTCTACAAGCTGTGAGGTTGAGTTTAACAATTTCATCTCACAGGATCCTGTAAAATAGCAGACATGTCAATCAGAGCTTCTTTTTTTTTTCTTTTTTTTTATTTATTCATAATTTTGTGGTAAAAGTGGTGATAAAGAATATCATTAACAAAACCACTTCTATGAGTGTTTGGAAAATATAATGGTGGCATTAAAACGGACTAAAATAAAACCAATTGGATATATCTATATAAAATTGGAACTATTTTTAAACTATGTTAATTTTTGAAGTGAAGAGAAAAAACTAATCACACATAAACAATCAACCATGTTTATACAGATTTCCATGGAATCAATTTAAACCATAGATCTATTTAAATAAAAATAATAAAAATAAGAGTTAATATTATTATCTAATACTTAACAAGTTAGAAACCATCCTGATTAGACCAATTAATCTTTTATTTTGAATATAATAAACATGCCCTCCTGCTCTCAAAATATTGCAGCTGATGTAAGTTATAATTGAAATTTATGTTCACCATGTGATTTCATCTGAACTTCCATATCTAGAGAATCGTCTTTTGATTGACAGACCACAAAAGGAAATAAGTCCTAAACACTTCTTAAAAAGGCATTAATAAATAAAGTATTCGTATATTTTGTCCTTAGACTTCAAAAAGATGCGGAAACTTGCCACTTTTCTACAGATAAATAGCCTAAAGTATCTGGCTCCAGTGTTCAGATGAAGTCATCAAGTTGATCAGAACCACTACATTATTAGACCATGAGTATTATATTAATTTAATACACCACAAGCAGGAGACTAGACAAAAATCAATGGACCAATATGCTATGTACCTCACTAGATGGTATGATGCAGGTAATCAACAACAACATATTCATCATGTCAAGGATATCTCAATTCTCAAACTATATTCCTATCATTAGACCAGATAATACCCCTCACTCCAACCCATAAATGGGCCTCTAGTTTCCACAGTGCCCCATTTCCAGATTAACAACAGAACAAAAGTATAATATTTGCCCCTACGCATCAGTAAATTGAATGCAACAAAAGTTAATTCATGAACAACAGTAACGAGGTAACGAATAAAGTGATACTGAATACAGATTCAAATAACTTTCCAAAGGAGTTTAATACAACAACTAATAATTTGGGAGATCTACTAAAAAAAGCATCAGAAAGAATGAACTTCACCTGAAAATTTGCGTCGTCTGGATTTCTTCTTTGTTTCGAGATGTAATTTTTTAGTTGATTGTCCATTTGTGTGTTTAGAATTTGTTTTTACATCATGAGAATTCTTTTTATTCAAGGAAGATGCCCCGTCAACATCCTCAGAGGTAGCATCCTTAGATGTAACATCATCATTTCCCTCACCAAAAGAATCATTAGATTCTATATGAACTTCATTGTTCAAGCCTAGCACATCAGAATTAGAATGTTTCCCTCTCATATCTTTGCTATCACTGGAATCTTCCATTTGAGCGTCATGAAAATCAAAAAAGTCATCATATTCATCCTCAGTGTCATCTGCGGCGTTCTTCTTTTCCAGATCAGTATCATGCGACGTTTTCCCATCATCTTCAGCAGAGCGTCCCAGATTCTTCAAAGAAGCCTCGTATTCTGCTTCATACCTTTTCAACTCATGACGTCCAGCTTCATTATACAAGCCAACGCCCTTCCGCTTTATACCCATGTCAGAACCATCCTTAGAAGACTTCACTTTGTGCTCCAAATTTTCAGAAGCTTCATCTTCAGCAGTTTCATCTCCAGGATCCTTACTTGTCTGCTCCATCATATCCTCATCATAATCACCATCCCTCCTCCGATCATCCCTATCCCAATATCTCGAATCCCGGCCATGCCCCCCAGAGGCATGCCCAAAGTCAAGGACTTTCTTCCTCTGTATCCGAGGTACATTTGTAAGAAAATCAGAATCACTCTTTAAATCATCATTATCATCACCATTGCTACTTATTTCTGCAACCACAGATTGGCAATCTCAAAAAGCCAGAAACAAAATCATCTAAAAACCATAGAAGAAACCATAAAACTCAATCTATTACTTAGCCAAATAACCTAGCCCCAATTCAACAAACTCAAAAACCCAAACCAAAACATCAACCAAGGAAAATCACAGATTCAAAAACCCTCTCCCTCTCAACAACTTCACCCAACAACTAAACAAGAAATCACACTCAAATTCATGCAAAAGTAAAACCCACAATGTTGACTCACATAGGTGCTCAAGAACCCCAAGAAAACAAATGCATTGTGATCAAAGAAAGAAAGAAAGAAAGAAAAGAGTGATTGAAAGCAGAACTTCACCGTCTCTGGAAATGTAAGAGAACGCGAGCACAGTGACGACAAGTACGAGGAAGAGGAAAACGAGGATTGCCGCCACCGACAGATAGGTACTCCTGTCGGATCGCGCCGATCGCCGGAGCCGCGGCTGCTTGTGGGCGGCGGCGCCGCGAATCCCGACGGCGACGTGATCGCCAGCGCCGTTGGCGTGGTGCAGATCTCTCACCCCAAACCTCTCCATTCCCGATTGCCTCTGCTGAGCCATACCATAACAATGACACTCACACACACACACACACTTACCCACGTGCTTGTTTCGCTCAAAGATTCAAGCTTTGATGCTTTGGTGTGATGGGGTCCTGTAGATTTCGGGTGGGTGTGAGGTGAACAAGAGTGTCAAGCACGCGATGGAAGACGATGGTTGATTTTTTCTTTTCTTGGGACTTGATTTTGAGAAAATAAAAAAAAAAATGGGTACCCCAGTTTTCAATTTGTATTAATCCAAAAAATAAAATAAAAATGGATATGTATGAGCAAGCATAGATGAGTAAATATGAGAGAGAAACGTGGCCGGCGACGGTGCCGCCGGTGACTTGGGCGGAGTTTGAATTGGAATTTCTTTTTTTCTCCCTGAAATTAGATGCCAATAAAGGGTATAATCTTTTAATGATTGGGCTATAAACTTTTTCTGTGGTGTTCTTTTTCCATTTCCGCTTTGATATATATATGATATAGAAATACGCGTTGTTTAATTATTAGTATTGTTTGTTGGGTTCTATTAAATATACTCTTATCATGTTTTGATCCACATTTAGAAGATCTCACATTGGTAAGATTGTGTTTAAATGAAGATCAATTTTAGTTTTGGAAAACGGATCATGGATTGAGTTCATCCAGTTTTAGAAAATCTCGCATAATAGTTTTACCAAGTAAAATATCAATGTGATTGAAGTTTTGGAAATAGATTTTACTATATTTTATTTAAAATGTTGCGAAATTCACAATAAATGAAGTAACTCAAGGCAAACATTATTTCCCATAGATATGATATGGCGTACCGTAAGCATGGCGCGAGTAGTGATTTTAACTTGATCCACGAATAATGCCATTTATTGTTGTTTTAAAAATATTCTATTCAGTACTGAAAATTGGATTTATACTACTTTATTTTTTGCCGAATTTACACCAAACTATTTTGACTTCTTACCCATAGATTAATCATTGTGGTTCCAAACTTTATACTACTAATAATAATAAACATTTTTCATAATTTGTATGAAATGATAAAGTTTAAATTTATTATTATTGTTATTAATATTATTATATAGTAAAAAAAATACAATTTTCAGTAAAATTTGTATCAAATTCCATTAAAAATAATTTAAGTTTATTTGTTTATTGAGTCTTTATAATTGTACAAGATTCATATTTTGATTCTTATACTTAAAAATTATTGTTGATTTTTAGTATTTATTATATAAATTCAAATTAACAAATAAAATATTTTTATAATTATCTATCAATTTGAATTAATGAAATAAATTATAAAATAATTTTTAAATTTTTTTAAAATATAAACTTAATTTATATATTAGAATTTTTTAATTTAATGATTGAATTATTAAAATTTAACATGTTATAAAAAAAATAACTTTATCAAGAGAATTACTTTATGAATAATTTGATCTCTTATCTTTTTTATATACATACATATTACTTTATTTTATTAATTTAAATTATTAAATAATAATAAAAATATTTTTTTATATTTATTTTAATTTATATAATAAAATATAAGATGTTGTAAATTTAATATATATATATATATTAAAAATTTAATTCAATTAGATTTTTAAAATTTAATATTTTCTTATAATAAAATAAGTTTACGAAGACTTATTCTTAAAATAAATAAATTTCTCTCCCACACTTTTAGAAATTGTTATAAAGATATTTAAATTAATTATTATAAAATCAACAAACTTATCGTATTGTATGAGATACATAATTGCTTGTTTTTCAATGAGAATATAAAATTACTGTATTCTTTTTTTTCATATATTTTTATATTAATTTTAAGATTAAAAAAAACAAATTTAAAATATTGGAGCAAGTTTTGGGGAGGTTTATGTGCAATTTTCTGAGCCACCAAATGATAGAACCTCAAACTCCACAAAATGAGTGTTTTTTGGGTAATGGTGTTGCGTAAGCAAATTGGCGAAGAAGCACAAGAGCGTTGATGGAGAGTCTCAAGTTGGCATCATTGACGCTGTCTCCTCCTTCTCGACGCTCTGGTACCTTCAAGTTCAACTTTTCTCTGCTATTCATTTATTTCTTGTCCCTTTTTAACATGACAAATTCTGGCTCTATTATCGTATTGAAAATCTCAAATCAACATGGGGGGTTTTCTCTTTTGATTGTCATTGAATTTTGTGACTCTTTTAGAGCGTTGACTTTGCTTTAGTCTTGATTAATGGGAGAAGTTATCATTGAAAATCTCAACTCTATCTTCCTTTTTTGTTTTTTTGGTTGTAATTTATAATTTACTATGATCAGATATTAATGTTATTTTGGTAGTGCAGGGATGCTAGGGAAGCAGTTGAATTCCCCTTTACTTACAATTGATTCTGCAGCACAGTTTTGCAATTGCAGGGTAAATGCTTTTAACATTTTTTTTTTCTTCTAGTTTTATGTGTGTTTGCTAGGAAATGGTTTGTCTGGAAAGATTGATAAAACAAAATTCATATTTAGATTTATCCTTATATGCTAGTCCAGAGAAAGACGGAAATCTGTTTTTGTATAAACTTAGATGTTAATCAGTAAAAAGTGGGTTACAGTTAGTAACTTTTGGGGGATTCTCTTGTTCTGTCAGCAGTATAATTGCAAATAGTAATCTAGGAAGCAAGTGTAGAAGATACTCCATAAACTTAGGTGTAGTTCCATAAATACTTTTGATGTTGTTTTCCAATCAAAATTAAGATTTTGTCTCTTTAATTTGTGTCATAAAGGTTTGCGTTAAATGTTAACATAGATTATTAGAATGAAACTATAATTCTGAGTGGATAATAACACCAAAAGTATCTAAGAAACTTTTTGTAAGTTTTGCCTTTTTAGTTATTGTGTTTGCTTTGCTGTGTGGATATTGAAGAGAAGTGTAAAGTTTGCCATCTTTCTTTGGATAGGACCATGTTAGCCTTTTCATTTGTTCATAATCCATGAAACTGGCCGAATGATGGGCGTTGCCATGTTTTCAGATGATTATTTTTCTTCAGAGAATGGGTTGTAGTTTATGCTATAAACTGAAGAGTGGGTGCTCTTTTGTCCTAAGAGATATCTTTGTTAGTATACAACACATTCATTCAATCATCATGGAGATTTTGTATTGAAAAGTAGTACTGTGCTGACATGCTTAACTTCCCACAAGCGGGATTTTGATATCCAGATATCTTTTCTAGGATTGAAGTGTATAGGAATGCTTTCACGGTTTTGTATTTTTTGTCGGTGGAATTGGAGGCTGAAATAAAAAAGGCTATGGTTTTACGATATGTATTTACTGTCTCAAACTGTGAGAACTGAGAAGAACCATATTTTTTGTTTTGGATATTGACTTTTATATAAAGGAACATGGAAGAGAATTGAATAGAGCAAATATGAAGGATCTTTTTCTTTTTATTATTAATGTAAGAATAAATAAATGTGATTATTCTGACAGGTGGGGGTATTCCATTATGGCCGACTTGATAAATAGTTACACTCAAAATGCTTAGATTGCCTAACATAGGTTACATTTTTTTACTCCCTATAAAGGCTAATATTCAGCAAGGAACTTTATTTCATTATTTTGCCCATTAAGAAATGGATAAGATCCACAACTGAAAATCCAAGACTTTGAAATGCTGCTACAGAATACTGTTTTGTTCACAAATAAATATCAGTTTAAAATATTAAGCTTCAGAAAAGTAAATTTCACTGTTCCTTGTTCTAGATTGTCCCATCCTCAACCTGCTTCTTGAAGAGTTGCATATCGGGATGAGTATTGAGCTCCTATATATATATATATAATTTTTTTTTTAATTTATAATTTTATTCACTGCATATCTGAACCTTTTCTTTAATTTTACTAAGTCATGCTTTGACATTTCTCCTTAAGAATGTAGCGTGTGTTTGTTTTCACGTTGAATGAAACTGGACGGTAATCCATCTCTTTCCTTACTTCTATTTTTTTGCTTTGAAAAATGTAAAAAATCCGTTGAATGATATTCAAACGGTAAAACAAACAACACTGGTAGAGGTTTGAATTTAATCATATTGTCACACATTCATTAATGTATTTCAACTTACATTTCTGTTTTTTTATTTATGCCTTACGCACTATCAATATTAAACCTTTGCATTTAGATCTGCAATGGCCAGAGTTGGAAATTGGAACATTTAACGAGTGTAAAAGATTTTATACTTAATGCTAATAAATTAATAATGGTCATCTGAGTCTGAAAATTGTATATGATCATGCAGGCTGATCTTGCTGCTGCATCATCAAGTATTCCGCTGCCAAATATCAGATTTTCACCAAGTGTAGCAACATCAACATGGACCTCAAATCTTTCTACCAAACATTGGATATTGCACTCAACTGCACAGATAGAAAATATAATCACAAGTAATGAAGATCAGAGTATGTGGGAAGCATGTAGACAAGCTCTGTCTGCATTTAACTTTAGTGATGAAGAAAAGGACAAGATACTCGGAAAAGCATTTGGTCTTGTTCATTCCCCTTATTGGGGAGAAGAACGTCAAAAGGAAGTTCCGAAACTCGAGACAGTAAATGGAATACTGGACTATCTAAGGAGTTTAAATCTTTCTGATGATGATCTGTCCAAGTTGCTTAAAAAGTTTCCAGAAGTTCTTGGATGTAATTTAGAGGAAGAGTTAAAAGGCAATGTAAAGATCCTAGAGGAGCAGTGGAGTATTGAAGGAAAATCTCTTAGGAACCTTCTCCTTAGAAATCCAAAGGTTTTGGGTTACAACGTTGATTGTAAGGGAGACTGTATTGCACAATGCACTAGATGCTGGGCTCGCTTCTAGGAGATTGGATAAGATGTATCTTTTTGTAACATTAGTAGACTGGTGCATAATTTCTTTGTTCATTTATCCACACCCTCTACAACTTAAATAGAAGACAGAATTGTATGTGAAGAAAGGTTCTCACTTTCTTGGATGCAAGTGGTAAGAAGTAATTTATTCTCAAGTTTAAGGGGTTGATTGAGCAATTATGATTTAGACACTACTGTGAATTGTTGATTGCTGTAGTGTCCAGACCATGGAATGAATTAAATCATAATAAGGTTGTTTATAAATCATGTTATTTTGTAGGAAGATGCTTTTATTGTTGATCGGCTCTTAATAATATTTGATCCTAGGTTGGAATAATTACAACTCTTATGGAAATTTCCCCTCCCCTTAAGCTTGATAGAAAGAGATATGATGAATTGAAATAGAATGGAATGAACTAAAATGATTATAGTTTTACTGTTTAAATTGATTAAATGATGATGGAATGGAATGAAACATGATATAAATGTTAGGCATTCCATTCTCTCCTTTTCTTCCCCTCCAATATGGGTATTAGATGGAACTTTTCTTTTTGTTGTTTCCATTGTATCAAATAATATTTAAATAATGAATGATAACTTTATTTTATTTCATTTTTATTTGATTTTATTCATCATTAAATATTGAAAAGTGGGGAATGATTTTCACTTTGTTGGTCAGGTGGGTTTTCACAATCAAGTTGTGTAAGAGTCTATTTACAACGTTATACAAACACACTATAATAAACTAATTTATTTAATAAGTAATGTTATTGTGCACTTCACACTAAAAAAAATGTAATAATTATAACACAAGTAGCAAACCATAACCAAATTGTTGGGCTTATTCTCCTCTCTAACGAAGTCAGCAAATAATAAAAGAATGAAAAAAAAAAAAATATATATATATATATATATCTATATATAAAAAGTGAATTTTCTCTTTCAACTTGATTTTGGTTATATCACTTTGTGTCAAACGTACCTTGAAGAGTAATAATGATTTCCTCACACCTCTTTGTGTTGGTTTCATCTTTCAAGCTTAAAAAATTGGCTCATACAAGTCACAAACCAAACTGAAACCTTGCATGCAGATTTTGTTGATCATAACTTCAGCTGCTTTTCAGCAATCAAAACAAATCATCAATCAACTCACGCCACATCTTTGGACAACATCTTTTACACCATTTATATATACCAAACTTTTCCTATACGATGCATATTTTAATTAACTGCATTGACGTAAACTCTTTCATTCAATTCTTGTGAGTGTTTTCTGTGCATGCATGTGACCTTAAAACCCTCTTGAGCATTTGCAGTATACTCCCTTAATTCCAAAAGCTACTTTGGGCACGGTGACTAGGATTTGTCATATATAGTAAGTTATTTCAATTCTTCAACATAACCGCTAACATTTATTATTTGGTTTTTCTTAATCCTATGAATCTCTGGAACTTATCATTTGATGTCTAAATTAGAGGAATTAGCTTGTGTAAGAATTTGGTTATGGAGATAATTGGTCCACTAGTTTCTTCATTTTACCTGTTCTATGCATGTGTCATTGACACCCCTCTTCCAAATTTGAATTCATTTTCCATTTTCAGACTACTGAAGTTGAACAAACCAATTTCCAAATATAGTAATTTTCTTCAGTCCTATTGTGCCTGAAAAAAAAAATCACTTACGATTAACGCCATTTGTCACCTACGCATATATGTTTCAGTATATATATATATATATATATATATATATATTATAATTATATAGTGGTGGAACACTAATCAGTACACACCCAACAACAAATTAACATTTTTTGTGATGTATTTTCACTCTTTCATGTGAATCCAGCTTGAGTACAGAACAGGACCGTCAATTTTGTTGATTTGCTTGTTGAATCTTTATATATGTGATTTTGGGTTAGCTATCTCTAATTAGTAGAATTAGCTTTTCGGAGGATAATTCTTTCAGATACTACTAACAAATATTTTTAGTTATTTGACAATTGTTACTACGTACAGGTAGAGATTGTGATATTTACTCAAACCCCTCAAACTTGAACAAACTCAACTATTAGAAGCCTATGACGTGTGTGTTATTGGCCTTTTCCATTTAATACTTGACAAGAATTTTTATAGAAGTAGTTTGGTGAATATTTCGATTAGAAAGAAGACTTTCGAAAGAAACATGAACCGACGCTAGCTCATTGAAAGAGATATTGATAGGTGAAGTGGCGGCAAGATAGCAATCTTAGGTCAATTTGTTGTATGAAAAAAAGTGACAAGTTAATGGATTAGTTAATACAAATTGGTTCATAAGGTTTCCTTCATATATTTTTTCTGATACCATTCTGATCCTTATAATACGTCTGATCGTATGCGACTAGAATTAATATTTGAGTAATGATACTTGTAAAATATTTCATACAATAATTAGTAGGCATTCTTATTGTTTATTTTTCTGTATCATCAATGAATGTAATAAATAATATAAGAGAGATAAATATAAAAATAATATTGTATAAATTGTTGTACAAATATCATTTATCTGAGATTAGTAAATTTAATTCTAATCGTAGTTTTGACGCACTATTAGCATTCTAATCTTTATTGTTTATCCACATGATAATCCATTGAATCTCTTAACCACCGTTGACTGATCAATCAAATTGATGCTTATTAAGCCCCAACAAGGTTATTCAAATAACAAAAGAATTATTTATCATTTATCAATACATCAAATTTGGAAACAGGGCCCAACATTTAGATTTGGGATAAACTTTAACATATTAGAAATAGAATTGAAAACAAAGTGAGAAACAGTTTATAACTTTGTATAGAATCACAACATTTATATGCCGGCTAGCTATAGGCTATAGCCACTAAACCACACAAAGAACAGAAAAAGAAAAGACAGAAACAAACACACTATATATAAATAGTTGATTGCAAGGATTTGAGACACGTATACATTAGTGCAACTTTATCAGATTCATAAATTATTTAGGATTTACATTCAGTAAATGACAGAAGTACATTCGGTGTCAAAGTTATAATTTCATTTTTCTTCATAGTTGTCCAATCGTGACTACAAGTGTTACCTAGCATATATAGTGGCCTTCTATTTAAGGCTAAAATGCATAGCCATAGGAAGAGGACGGAATTGTGATAATTAATTATTAAAACCACAAAAAGTAATAGCTTAGCCAATAAGTTTGTGTCCTCGGACAAAGGCAAACAAAAAGTTCAGGTAACAACATAATTTACTTAGTCGTCAATTCTTTCACGGCTACAAAACTTTCAAAGTGCATGCATATGAATCTGGTAGTTGTTATCTTGCTACAGATGGAACCTATCCTCATCTCAAAAAACAACCCTTCTTTTTCCATATAAATATTCGCACATTCAATTCAAAGCTTCAGACCCACAATTTTCTGTGTCACTGTCTCTGTCTTAAAACCTTGTTTTAATTTGCTTTTGACTTAAGAAAGCAGGTAAAATTAAATATGGCCCTCACCAGAAACACAGTGATCTTGGCTATTCTCTGCTTCATCCTTATACAAGAGGTAAAGTACTAGTGATAATTCATTCATGATATATGTGTTTTTTATTACAATATTACTTCCTTCCCTTGTTTTATGATATCTATTCAGGTCATGGTGAGTTATATCGATCATCATATTTTTTCCTCACCTTTTTTCATAAGAAAAAATATTATTGAGAAAAAGGAGTGAAAACCAGTATAAGATGTACAAAGTTTTGCAAAGACCAATGTTTTGCTACAATAACTTGATAAACATCACGCCTCTTATCATAAGACAGAAATCAAAAAAGTCTCCCATGTACCAAAGATAGATCACATGTTAGAACAATCAAAAGGCACTCCCTTTATACTTTTGACACATGAGAAAACTCTAAAACTCTTTGATAAAGCATGTGACCTTTGAAGTCTTCTAGACAACTTGCTCCAATAAAATGAATAGCAAAGGAAGACACTCCAAGTGATGGATTGACTAAACTATGAGGATAAACGATGTCAGCAGAAAATGATAATTTCAAAAAGAAACCATTGCTACCTAAGTTATATAATGGCACTGCGTGTCAGTTCTTGAAAAAATAATTTGAATAAGATCGGTGGCACAAGTTCTTATCAGCAAAGTAACTTCATCACGCAAAGCTTCCAAATATTTTTCTTGTATACTTTATAAGGACTATTCCAGCTTGCAGTAGCTTTCCTCCACCAAAATGTGCAGACACCAGTCCCTCTTGAATTTTATGAAACACACTAAAAAATTACTGATGGAATAAGCACACTAACTTTGAGCGATATCTGACAAAAAAACTTGATTGGATACTTTTAGTAGAACCTTTTCTTTAAACTACATTTTTTTTCATTCAAAAAACTTGAATTTGGAATATTGTCTAAGAAAACTTTGGTCTAAGTATCTATGTCCGGTATAAAAATTTGTTAGTTGTTAAATATTTCTTATACGGAACATGAGTACATGACAAGACAACAGACAAATTTCAGCAGCCATTACTTAAATGCAGCGATCAACCCATCCATGACACGTTTCCAAAGTAACAACATATATCATACCAGCAAAAACACCAAAAATCGTTCGGGGAATACAGATTTTTCATATGTGAAATCTTGAATTATGATCATGATATGATTTTAATTTCTGGAAAGTTTTTTGGTATGTTTTATCCCGAAAAGCCATTAATTCAATGCTGTCTTATTTATTACCTTACTTTTTACTCTCCCATCTTTATCTTATTATTTGCTAAGCTAGACAGAACTTTTGAACCTCTTCGACTATAGTATTCAGATCGCTAATTTTCTCTTTTTCGTTTTTTCCTAATTTTCAGTTGGGGATCTATAATGGAAATCAGCACATGGTTGCCGCCCAGAAGATAGGTAAGATTGAGAGTCTGAGCACTGTACTGTTTGTAGTTTAGTTAGTGATGATAAAGTAAGTTTAGATGGATCAAATAATCCAAAATCTAGTAATTAGTAAAGTGATAGATTGTTAATCTAGTTATTATAAATTTGATGGGCATTGTAATGGAAGAAATAAAGACTGTAGTGCAAAAAATATATCATGCATATATATACATAGATTGTTGTGTTGAACAACAATTTTGAAGTTATATGTCTCTTTGCTCTCCTTCACACTTAATCTTGCGAACTTAATTATGGTATCTGATTGATTTACATATGAAAAGCTTGATATGGTGCAGATTGCGGTGGGAAGTGCAATTACAGGTGCAGTAAGGCTGGGAGGCACGTAATGTGCCTAAGGGCATGCAACACTTGTTGCCAGAGGTGCAACTGCGTGCCACCTGGCACAGCTGGGAACAGAGACATGTGTCCTTGTTATGCTAGACTCACCACACACGGAGGAAAGCTCAAGTGCCCTTGAACATGCATGAGTACTCAGACTAACTACCTAGTGTATTATTCGTCATCATATGCATGCATGCAGTTAAATAAATAAATATGCAATATACTTTGTCTGAACTACTACGTGGGAATATCGATCGGGGAATGAGGGAATTGAAGAACATATATGATATATAGCACTAGCTAGGTGGGAAAATGGATGACTAAGATCTCATTAATTGTTTTGAATGCTGCAGTATTTCTTATTAGTACAAGGCAAGCCAATGTATGATATTTGCGGCTTAGTAATAATCTTAGTCGATATTGCTGATAGCTCCACTTCTTTTTGCATCAACAAATTTCTGTTACAACCAAATGAAACATCTCTCCTAAAATAAAACACAAAGATAGAAGACAAAATAACAAGATCGATTTAGAAGAATTAATATCTGATAGATTGTAAGATAATTTTCCTACACTTTGCATCTTCTTTCCATTTATTTGCAATCTTATTGACGATAAAATACTTCAGCGTTTTTCATACTTGGACACTGCTTTTTGGCCGTTGTAGAATTTTTTTTTTAATATTATATTATAATTACCATTGCAATTTTATTAACCAACGAATCAATATTTAAAGAGAGATAAAAATTGCAAATTTAATAAAATTGAGATATAAAATTATCAAATTAAAATTAGAAGATCAAAATTACTTATTTAAATTATATGGAATCAAAATAACAATTTAACTTTATTATTATACACACAAAAAAGTACTATACGTTTCTCTTGTTAAAAAGAAAAACAACAAAAAGGGTAGTTATTTGAACATGTGTTTCTCAAGTTAAAAAATATTAAAACAAAAAAATAATAAAATGATATAATAATTATTTAAAAGATGTGGATGATTTATAATTTATTAAGAAATAATTTAAAAGTAAAATTGAAACTAAAATATACACACACAAAAAAAAAAAACTTTATCACTTTTATTAGTTAAATATTCAAATCATATAAACATCTTTTAGAAAAATCATATAAAGATCAATAGCTAATAATTGTAGAAATAATTAAATTTTAACATAATAATTTAAATATGCATTTTTTTAAATATTTCATGTACCTTTTAATCATAAAAAATAAACTAATTTTTAATCATACGAAATAACATATGATGAATACATTTAAATCATACAAACATTAAATATAAAGAACAAGTACAATGTACCAATTTTTATTTTTATTTTTGATAAAAAGAAAGTCACATTTTAAATACAATGATATTTTTATTTTCTTATTATTTATCTAGTGTTAATACACATTAAAAAAATAATAAATATAAAAAAAAGGCTAAGCAAAAAGGTTTAGAAAAATAAGTGAAAACAGCGATAAAATTCGTTTGAATTGATTCGTTGTTGATCTCCTCTCCGGATTCATACGCATAATTTTGGTTCGAATCGGTGAATCCCAAAATGGGTGACAGCCAAAAATGGGTGACAGAAGAAAGAAGCGGCGTCGTGTGCTAGACTCGCCCACTTCTTCCTCCTCTCCGTCGTCCGACTCCGACCGCCCTTCACGGCGGCGGCGGCGGCGCGAGAAGGAGCGGCGCCGAAGGAGCGAGGAAAAGGAGGAGCGAAGGCGGAAGAGGAGAGACAGAGAGAGAAGAAAGAAGAAGAGGCACCACGATTCCGATGAGTCCTCCTCTTCGGAGGAGGAAGACGAGCCTAGGGTTCAGCCTCAAGCTGTGATAGCCGAAATGATGCAAGAGTTTCCCAACGTTGGCAACGATTTGAAGCAGGTTTCACCTTAATTGCTCCTCTCACACTCTTTCAATTCCATTGCTAGTGTTTTTTTGGTGTCCACTAGAGTAGTGTTTGAAATTGACTATATATTATATGCTTACTGTATGATGCTTATACATGCTTGATTCTTATTAGTGTTGTTGCTGTTGTGTTTAGCTCTTGCAAATGATTGATGATGGACAAGCTGTTGACATAAAGGGCATATCAGAAAGATCTTTAACCAAGCATTTGAAGAAGCTGTTCCATTCGTTAAAACTTAAGGAAAATGGAGATAGGGTTTTCTTGCTGCCTTCTAAAGCTCGCCCTACTTTGGATGTTGTTGGTCCTCTAATACACTCCTATATGAATGAGCAAGCTGGCACTTCTGCACCAGTGGCTGATACTTCTGCAGTTCCAATTGATATTGGAAATGAACAGATGGTGGATGACCATGTAACGGCACCCCCGGAGGATCATTCTGTTGGTCCTAGAAGAAGGTCATAGTTCTTTTTTGTCATTTTGCTGGCGTTTATTTTTACTTTTTTGTTTCTTGTGATTATTGCTTACTTTATTGTGTAGGGTGATAGGCCCTGCAATGCCATCAGCTGAATTGCTTGCTGCGGCTGCCAAATTAACTGAGGCACAGACTGAGCTCAAGTACTGATCCATTTAAGTTCTTATTGATTGTGTTTCCTGGATAAATTGAGTTAATTCTCATCTAATGATACTGTATGATATTTTGATGCTAATGTGTTTAGAGATGCCGAATTGGACGATGATACTGAACTATTTATAGGACCTGCACCACCAGCTATGGTTTCTGAAGCAGAATCAGCTAATGAAGCAGAACGATTTGAAGAGGTATTTAATCCCAATAGTCATTAATAAGAATTACTTTTTTCCTTTCTTCAATTATTAAAATAATACACTCAGTTAATGGTTGATGTATGGTATTTTATTTTATTTAGGATTGTATTTTATTTGGGGAACATGGGAAAGAACTTTAATTTTGTGGCATCTGTTTTCTACTGTCTCCTTTGATTATGTAGCTTCCTTCAGCTGAAGTGAACAATCTGTCATCCGAATATGACGAGTCATTAATTGCTGTATTTGAATTAATCTTTAATTATTGGTTTTGTTATGGGATAAAATAGTTTGGTTTCCTCTAGTCATGGAGTCTCTCGGGGAGCTCCAGTTGTTCATCAGCAGATTCTTTTATGGGGTAGTGATGATTGTTTTACTCTTTGAAGACAGGAATTTTTATTTACTTTTGTTTTTGACATTTGATCATCTGTGTTTTTGTAATTTCTTTTTTATTTTCTTAAAGAGTTTCTTATCAGGGGGGGAACAATTTAATTCTCACATAATTGTTAATTTTTAAAAAAACTATATTTTGGATATTTGTTTGTTATTGAATGTGGAGATACAAGCAAGACTCATCCCCTGTTTCTTTCTCAGGTAACCAGGATCATGGAAGTTGAGGCTGACAGCCCATATGATGTTCTGGGAGTTAACCATAATATGTCCAATGAGAACATAAAGAAAAGGTATGTTCTTCTATGTGTTTCTATAATTAGCCAAAGTAATAACAATTTCCGGTTAATTTTGTTTTCAAATTAATTATTTTCAAATTTAGTTCAACTTTGTTACCTGCTCAGCAGAATTAGTTAGTAAATGGTCTTTGTCTGAATGGTTATTCAGTATTTTTCTGCCTACTGCTCCAAAGAAGTTATTAAGTTCTTCTGGAAATCTTCATGATCCAAATCATTGTATTATCATCTTATGAACAAAATGTAGACTATAACAGCCTGTTCTGAACTCAAAACATAATTTTATATGGTAAATAATATATTAAAAATGCATCCAGATAAATAATATGCAACTAAATAAAATCAGAGTAATCAAGGTATTTCTATATCTATACAGGGAAGTAGGAACTAAAAAGGGAAAGACACTAAAATATATTAAGTTCTATTTTCTATAAAGTAACAGAAAAAATGTCCAGACCTTATCCCATCAAATGACTAAATATGATAAAGATTACTTGGTTGTCTAATGTCATCTTCATTAATACCCCTTAGGTACTGGAAGATATCACTATTGGTTCATCCAGATAAATGCTCTCATCCACAGGCCCACCAAGCTTTTATTAAATTAAATAAAGCTTTCAAAGAATTACAAGACCCAGAAAAGGTGAGCCTGCTAGAAGGATGGTTTATTATTAAAGTTAATGGTGTTTTTTTTGTGGGATATGCTTGCAGCCTTTTCTTTTTGTGACATACACTTGAATAATTTCTTTATCTTTGTCTATGTTTTCTTTATTGTTTGACTGTTCTACTTGAAGGTAAAAATTTTTGCATTTTAAACTGATACATAAAAATATGATACAAGTACATAAAAGATAGGTTTGTGAAATGGGGGGAATAGTTATCTGCATCCCTAAGAAATAGGAAATTACATATATCTTTACAAATATCTATGTTTAGCCTGTCCAAAGTCCTATTATTTAGGGCTTAGAATTTAAAGTTTGAACCCCTTTTTTTCTCCTCTTAAAATGATGCTTATCCATCAAATGCTTTAGATACTGGGGTAGATGATTAAATGAGTGCAACAGGGAATTAGCAAATTTTCAGATGATAAATTTCTGACTTTCTGGATGCTACACTAATTTATGGGCTGATTATGATTTGAAAAGAATTAAGTGAAATTGGACAGTTTTAGATGTTTAGCTATTTGAAAATTTGGGTTTATTTTATTTAAAATTGATTTTGATTCGAGTTCAGAGCCTTATCTCTGATTTGAGTGAATTTATTTCCTCTGCTGGGATACAGCAACAGGAAAGGTATTTGTTTATTTCCATCTAAAACAGATATTGATGAACTCTTCTTTTCACTATAAGGACCCTATATGTCAAAATCACCAAGTGTTTTAATTCATGTGTGAAGAAAAACTGTGGTTTAAGGAACTTGAGTGGTCAATAATTTAGTATAATGTGGCTGAAATCATTTGAAAAAGTGTTAACAATGTCTTGCACTTGACCCACATTATTACTGACCTTCACATGTTGTGTTGCTAGTGAATAAGCAATCATCGGTGGCAGATTATTTATGTTTAGATTGACTTATTTTGGGGGAAAATAATATTTTTTTGGCAGCTTCGCGAGAGTTTTAATAAGAGTGATTATTTCCTCCAAAAGAAGCTAGAACAATCATGTGGACAAGTGAGAGGAATAAGTACTTTCGCATGAAACTCAGAAATTATATAACAATTTTCTGGGCTCTGGGCTTATTAATTTATTTCTCATATTTTCCTTTACCTTTGGTTTTGTCTATAGAATTTCTTCAATTTAGAATGTTGTTTTGATTTGGCATGGATTCTTTTATCAGAAGATTTTTTTGCTCTCAAATTTGATATATATGACAGATTATATACTTTTTCAATATATTTTTCATTTTATTAACAAGATGTGTGTACTTTTTGAAGAGGAAAGCAATGGATGATAAAATCAAACTCAAGCAAGAACAAGAGGAATTTAAGGTAACCTGGACTTATTTGTCTGGCTGAAATACCTTTGATTGAGAATCCTAATATCTTCATGTGACTGCAGGCTGAACTTAAAAGCATGCGTGAGGCTGCACTGTGGAGAAGATCTCAAGGTGAGTTCTTCAATGTAGAGGACTAGAGGTTTCTTGTCAAGTTTGTTCAGGTCACTTTCCTGCATGTTAATTAACATGCTTAATGCAATGACTTTGGTAAGGGAGAAAATTGGAAAGAGGATGAGAAAACTGAAAGGGTTATGTTGTGTTGTTAGAGATACTTGTAGCACCTGTCCCCCAAGTAAAACATGAAAAAAAGGTAGGAGGGTGCGTGGAAGAAAATTAGGAGCAAAATACAAATATTATCATTTCAGTGGGGCTTGATGATGGGGATTACATTTTCTGACATTCATATAGCATATTACCATTTTTATGTAAACTGAAGAAAAATTTATTAATATTTTGGTATTTATAGGTTGAACTTGTTATATATTAACTTAAGGAGAAAATTTTGCTGGTTGTTTCAAGTAATACTACAGGCTCTAGTTTTACTTTACATAATGATTAGACTCATTTTAGAAGACTCTTTTTATTCTCTTTTCCTCTTAATTTTAACGATCTAGCCTTTCGCTTGGAGAAGGTACTTTATTGTCATATTGTCAATAAACCAACACAAAGTGCCAGCTAATTTGGTGATGGTGTGCTTAATTTGTGGTATTTGGAATTGGGACGTACTTTTGCCTCTTCTGGCACCGAGTTGCTCATCGCTGTTTGAGGTTGGGAAATTGGTAGGGCATGAACAAACATGCTCCTCCCTCTTGGTTTCATTCGGGCACGTGCAGCCTTAAATATTTTTCGGTTTTACTTTTCTTAAAGGGAAGGGGGTGCAGTTGGGTACTATTACTTTGTGAATTCTGTCATCTCATTGCTAGGAAATCTGTGGCAGGTATTTCCATGGAGGGTGATGAAGAGCTTCTGGCACAGACAGAGGTTAAAGTGGAACCAAAAAGGGATGAGTGGATGACAACACTGCCTCCAGAAAGGAAAGTAAGTCCTGTCAATCATTTAAGTTCATTTTTCCCCCTAAAAACAATACGCATATATTTAATGGACTTGTGTGTTTCAGCCTGGTGGTGTGACTATGCAATCAACCAAGTTTAGCCGTGGCCCAAAGGAAGGTAGAGGTGATACTAGTGCTTGGACAGACACCCCTTTAGACAGGGCCCAGAAAGCAAAGATGAAGTACGTATTTCATTCTAGAGTGCTTTGGTTGGTCAATTTCTCTTTCCTACAACCCTATATTCCACTCTTTGAAATCAAGATCTTTATAGCAAAAATGTTATCTACATGGCAGTTATTTGGAAGCATACAATGAAGCTACTGCACTAGCCTCAAATGAAGATGAAAAGAAAAGGGCTAGTGCGGATGCAGAATTAGTGGACAAATACAATAAAGCAAAACGGTCAAAAACATTGGTGCAAAAGCATCAAGAAGAGGCTTCTAGCAAATCCAAGAAAAAGTCCAAGCAACAGCCGCAGAAGGAAGACTGGGTGGGCCAACATCCATGGAAGCCATGGGACCGTGAAAAGGATCTAACAGCTGGAAGGAAAACTGTAAATTTTGATTCAGAAAGCATGACTAAGGATTTATCTTCAAGGTTTTCCTCTGGGAACTTTCAGAGGAACTTCCTTTGATTTGATTTAGTTCACGTATCATGTGCTGTGGCCTTTTGCCTGGACAACATCTGTTCAATGAGCTTCATTGAGAAATTGAATTTTTCTTCTTCCTGATGGTTTGTTTCTGTCATTCTTTACGTATATTATTTTGATTTTCGTTTCTTGTTCAACTCTATTATAGGCTAACTGATTCTCTCTTTTTTACACATACCTGCAGTAGCCAGTAGGCAGTAGGTGCTGAGTACAGAGTCATGTGCTGAAAATGCTACGGAGAATTCTAATTATGAAATTGCGTGACTGGCAAATATTTTCTGAAGTTTGTACAACAAATAGTCCATTTCTTATTTTCATAACTTATATAGATGTATATCTAACTATCTATCAAGCATGGTTATCTGAAGTATTTATCTTTGTGGCACATATGTTTATAGCTTATGAGAAATAGTGGAGATAGCGTTTCATATAGTAAAGCATCTTCAGTCGAAGTTTAACAAATGCCTATACATGTAACAGTCACGTTAGTAGTGTCATCTTTTGAGAAGGTTTAATTACATTTTTTTTTTCGTTTATTTAAGGTTATGTGAATTCTTAATGATTATTTTTGTTCAATTTTTTTTTCTTATCATCTTAATCAAGTACTTTGTTTATTACCCTTTTTTCTTCGACTTTAAAAGAAACATTTGGTATTGAATTTGAAAATGTTACGTTTTTTTTTTGTTTGGTTTATTATTTAAAAAATAACATTCTTAGAAAATAATTTTTTAACTATTTTTTATTTAGGATTTTGCTAGATTGTTTATGTGAGAAGTGAGAGTTTAACATTTTTTGAGCTATTGTAGTAAAAATATTATGTCATTTTTATTTACTTCAATTTAGTAAAAAAAACTTGATTCCCAAATAATATATGAATGTTTTGAAAAATATTTATGTCAAATTAAACATTTTAATCATTTTAGGAATATGATTTCTGATATTTATGATTTTTATTAATCATGATTTTGGAATATTTTAAAAAAAATTCTTCCACCAAATGTCTCCCAAGTTTTAAAATTTTATTTTTCCGCAAATAATCAGATGGTTTGACAGATTTAGAATAAGAAATTATTTGCATGATTTAGAAATTCAAAATTTGATTAAATTCAAATGATTTTATAGGAAGTGAAGTTAAGAAATTAAGGAATATGTTTGAAAATATTTACCGTTATGTAAATACTTATGTTTCAATTGGTTAGCTTTGTGCAAAAAAGGGTTGAAAAAAAATTTAGGCCTCATACATGAATCCACCTTGGTATCAAAATTATTTTTACAGGTGAAAAATAATATAAAATAAGCTATTTTTATACTTGGCATACAACATCACTAATTAAGTCATTTAAAAAGTCTTTACCACTAGAGTTTGAGGACGTAGCAATTTGGACTAGCTAGGTCACTTACTTCTTGTCTACCAGGTAATTGCACTATCAATGCATTGAACAATATGCAAGGAAAATTAACGCATCATTTCAAATGATATTATTAATAATAATAATGCTTAAATATATTTCTGGATTAAATTTAACAACTTTAAAATAAATTATTAATGATTAAAATAATTTTGTATCACAATTTAAATTATTTAATCAAAAATATTTGTTTATATAAAATTTTAATTGATATAATTTATATATTGAAATATATAATTTAAATTATATTTATAATTAATTATATATTTTATTTATATATAATAAATATTTAATTTGTAAATTTCATAAACTAAAATACTAATTTCTAATTATTCACAAATAACCCATTTAAGCTCCTAATGAAAAGAGGAAGAAAAAAAACGAGGAGCATCAAAAGTGTTTTGTATTTGAGACATATTTTGTCTTATATAAGAATGAGAGGATTTCATAAAAACCAAAAAAGTTACCTATCTCGGTGTGACTTGCGAGAAAAACGTGACAAGCCATACAAAAGAAAAGTTCCAAGCAAGTCTAAATTGATGCGATTATGATTAAGGATTACCTAACTTCGGACGACATTTGATGATGATTTATTAGTACTTGCGTTTGAGGTTTTCCTTCCATATTTCTTCCTTTCGATTTTTCTTTTTCTCTAGGAAACGTTATTTGGCTACGTAATTTGAATTAGAGATGCTAGATCTAAGTCAATCCATTTTCATTTCTTGACGATTTGTCAACCCCTTTTAGTCTTACTAATGGTTATTGACTCTTCTTTACTTTAAGATGGATTGGTGATATAAATATATTTTTTTAAAATATCACTTAATTAATTGACTAATTTCATTGATATTAAAATTTATTTTTTAAATTAAAATTGTAAAAATAAGATGTTATGAAAAAACAATATAACTTAATACTTAATTTAAATTTTAATTGAGTAATTTGGTAATCTATTTCATCAATTGATCTATTTAATTATTTGGCGTTATCAATTTATCATATTACTTTCACTATCACATCAAGTTATCTTTCAATCATAATTTTAAATATGATAAGATTGTTATTGTGTTTTAGGATTCAAAATTTTATAAAATTAAAAATTATTTAATATTCATTATATAAATTCAAATAACAATGATAAAATTAATATTTACATGGTAATTGCCTTATCGTAGAGCTCGTGCAAGTGTTTTGCCTTTGTAAGTCACCAAATGAAAGTAGCATATAGAAAACACAATCCAGGTATGGTGGCCATAGAACAAACAACCGAAAATGAAACTAAAATTTGTTCGAAGCTATTTATTAAATATTATTGAGAACCGTAGGTTCATAAAAGACAAAAGGAATAATCACCAGAACTAATCATCAATTCATCTATTGACACATTCTTAGGATAAATTTATAAAGGGAGACAACTTAGGTTGCGACAGAAGGCATGTCATTATCAAACTTGGGTTAAGCTTGAAATTTCCTCTCTAGAAGGTTTGCTGTTAAAGAGAAGCACGTAGTGTGAGAAAAGTAATAATAATAAAGAAAAGCACACAGATAATCCATATATGGATATATAATGAGAAGAGTTGAAAATGTATGCTTTATAAATACATTTAATGTATGTGGGACTGAGCAGCCCAACCTCTATGCAGTCCCACAAACCGCCCCAAATGCTTCAACTTGCTTGATTTGCACTATTTCTTTGTTTGATGAAGCAACCCCACCACACCCTTATCAAAATCATGAGAATTGCATTGTAATGTTGTAGGGTCCATCATCCCCCATTTCACCTTCCAATACTTTCTTTTCTGCGGCTGCTTTCCTAACAATCTATTGGTTATCCATTCCCTTGCTCAGCTTCAATGAAAGAGACTTCATATGCTTCTCCACAATGGTTTGGTTCCCTAGCTACTACTACTCTAAAACATGCCAAAGAGAATGATATAATATCATGCTCCTTGTTCAGTTTAAAAAGACATGAGAAAAAAGTATTTGCTACTTAGGTTTGTGTTTGTCTTTAGCTTTTAATTTGTTGAAAAAATGTTGCTCGATTTGTAAGGGTCACATTGTCTTAAATTTTGAATAAACAAGTATAAATACTTAGTGTAGTTTTTCAATAAGAGTTAAAATTTTACTTCAATTATATATAAATACTTTTGTCATTTAATAGATTCATTTGTTATGCGTATTATGTAATTAAAATTCTAATTCTGATCGGAAAATAATATTTATATCATAATATGAATTTTGTTCATTTATTAATCATATATAGTACTTCAATATCAGATAGCACCAAACTTGGCTACTATATGCTCAGAAACTATATGTGGCATTTGTATTTTATGGCAGAACTAATTAATGCCAACCGTATATTTTAGTGATGTAATCATACCAATTACCAAGCATGAGCATCATTGCCAAAATGATATTTTTACCCTAAATAAGCAATGTCAAGCAAAATGAATAAAGTCAAATGGAGTTGAAGGAAGGTTAATATTGCTGGTTCCTATTAAGACCACTCTGGTGGCATATCACTGGTCACTGGTGCCGTCCGGTCACATTAGACACAACTTGGTTACCGGCCATGATAGTGACAAATTGATGATCAATCTCACTTACTACAGATTTTGACTTAAATTTCATTTTTTGCTTACTGGCTGAAGTTGACTAAATATGAACTGAGATGGGTTTTTAATTATTCCACCCTTTTTAACTAAGGTTACAATTACTGAGATAAAAATTAACATTTCATTTCTTTTAATTTGATCTGACTTAATTACACCTACACCCAGCAAACTATACTTGAACAAGATTTGAAGCTGGACAAACTGCAGCTGGCTCTTCAATTTAGTGTGAATAGTACGTTACATGGTAGCTTTTGGCCACAATATATGACTGAATTAATTGCCAGTATCCTTATGTCTATGAAAAAGTTGAAGAACGGAAATAACAAAAGTGAAAACGTAAGATATTTTCTGTTGTTACACTACATATAATGAATGAAATCAGGGAACAGGATACATATATCATAATGATTATCCTTTCTTCCTTATGTTACATGCTAAAATAATAATGGGCCTTTTCTCTTTCAGCCAATTGTACATCTTGTTCACACGCAAGTCTCATGGTGCTTGCACTGAAACCTAGATTCTGGTTTTTTTATTTTTATTTGTTCCTTTTCCCTTCTCCCATCTCTGAATTATAGCTATACTCATTCAAAAAAAATATCTAGTGGTGGACCTGGTGGTCACCTCTGGGCCATTTTGTTAATAATTGCTTTTCCAAATTATCCTTGTTAGTTTGAGATGACTACAATCATAATCCATAAGAGACATAGAATATAATTTCTAATTAAAGCATACATATGAATATATGATCAATATATGGCATGGAATTATATTACTTCTTTTCAGACAAACCCTAGCTAAACATTAATATTCAAAATAAAACGCACATATATTCGGAACATTATAGTTGCTTGATGTGAAAATGTGAATTTTAACTCCACAAGCAGAAATTGATCTTTACGTATATAATAAAGGTCATGTATTGGTAAAAAAAAAACATGATAGTTCTGCACATGCAGTGTCTGCATAATAGTATTAGAGCAAGGACGTTCCTCTAACAAGCTTCACATGGAAGAAGAAATGTTTACAATGCCCCACCTCAATTGTAGAGTCTGTACTTGAAGCAATTGCTATGGCTAGCAGAGGTACTTTGATTTGAGATGGTGAAGTGTGGAGGGCTAGGGTCACTTTCAGACAGTTTGAGTTAATCAATAACAACAACAGTATCTAGCATAAGATCCGCAGATGTTAAGCTCCACCACACGCGCCCATAATAATAATGACATTTGTTTTGCTCCTCTTAATTATTAATTGTCGAATATAATTACTCTTTTTGTTGTGTTGCTGCTACCTAAGTACTAATTGATTCAATCTGAAATAATTAAAGACAAAAATTGAATTTCAAACCCATTTAGCATTC